AAAAAAAAAAAAAAAAATGCTGCTGCTGGACACACCCTTGGGGCCATCTTGTCCCACAGGGCTGAGCATCTGGCCCTGCCCTCCCTGCCTCTGCCTGACCTCTGCTGGGCATCCTTCGGAAATAGCCTCTGCCCCTCTCTGCTGCCCTGGAGTAGAGACCAGTGTTGGTCTCTCCTGGGTAGGAAGCTGGCTTGATCTGGGGACCCCATGAGGGCTTGGGAGCCGGCCCCACCATAGACATGCAGTAGCCCCATCCCTGTCTTACTCTCTGCCCTAGAAGGTAGGGGCCATAGCACTCCCATTCTGAGGCCTTAGTGGAATTCCCCCACCTCCACAGGCCCCTAGCACAAGCCCTGTGTGGTCAGCATGGAGGTGCCATGCCCCCACAGCCTCAGGAGTAGCTGGCCACCCTGTGTGTGTCCAGTGTGTCCCAAGGAGCATGGCTCAGGAGAGTCCCTGGTCAGACAAGCCTCAGAAGCCCCCTGACCACATCCCTCTTTGCAGTGAGACCTGTCAGTGTTAGTATCCGAGGGCTGCCATGACAAACCACCACATACTGGGTGACTCAGAGCAACACGTTTATTTTCCCATGTTCTGGGGGCCCAAAGTCAGAAACCAAGGTGTGGGCAGGGCCCAGCTCCCTTAGGAGCCTTGGGGATGACCCTCCCTGCCTCTCCCAGTGGCAGCCACATCACCTGACCTAGCTCTGACACACGCCCCTCTGTTGACAGCTGCAGTGTTTGTCTCACACAGTATGTTCCTCACTGGGCTTAGAGTCCACCCTGATTCCAACTAGACCTTGTCTCAGCCCTAATCTTTTTTTTTTTTTTGAGACAGAATCTCACCATGTCGCCCTTGGTAGAGTGCCGTGGCGCCAGAACTCACAGCAACCTCAAACTCTTGGGCTTAAGTGATTCTCTTGCCTCAGCCTCCTGAGTAGCTGGGACTACAGGTGCCCACTACAATGCCCGGCTATTTTTTGGTTGTAGTTGTCATTGTTTAGCAGGCCCAGGCTGGGTTCGAACCCACCAGCCCCAGTGTATCTGGCTGGTGCCCTAGCTGCTGAGCTACAGGCGCCAAGCCAGCCCTAATCTTAATTATATCTGTAAAGACCCTTTTTCCAAATAAGGTCACATTCTGAGGTTCCAGGCAGACACCACTGTGTTGTGTTGAACCATCTAGTCAGCCTGTTTGTGTGAACAGAAGTCAGTGGCTCGTGTGTTATTGGCTGTCCTGAGGTCCATTTGTTCTTGGCCAGGCTGAATGTGACTTATGTTAAGCGCAGCCTCTGCCCATGGGCCATTTGGATGTGGCAGTTTCTGATCACAGGGATCTGTTGCATGCTGTGGGCACTGTGCCCTGAGACTGGGTGCTATGCCTGGGAGGGCAGCATGACCATCTGTGCACAACTGGGAAGCCGCCTTCCCTGCTGCAGGCTGGAGCCCACCAAGCTCCAAGGCCTACAATGGTGAGGGAGAAACTACAACATTTTGAACTGTGTTGCCAGAAGCACAGCGCCCGTAAAACCACTCTTTATTTGAAAATAAGCCCACTCATTTGCAAAGGTCATTCTGAGCAGAGCAGTAGGAAGCAGTTGCTGGAGCTGGGAAGAGCTTGCCGGTGGGGCAGGGGCCATTGTTTAATGAGATGTTGTGTGCTACACTAGGGTGTTTCCTTGCTTAGTCAGGCCTGCTGGAATGCATGGCTGCAGTCCCGAGTTTATCTCTGTGGATCTCCATTCATTTCTGGAATGCCAGACAACATCTGCATTTCCTGCGCAGAGGTGATGGGCAACCCGTCCCAGGAATGCCCGAGGCAGGGCGGAGGGGTCTCCAGCAGAGCGACCAACTGATTTGGGTTTTGTCATGGGCTATGACGTGCCAGTCAAGCGGTGTGTCAGGCGCACATGGAATGCTTTTGGGGCAGCGTTGGCTGGAATTCCAGTTAATGCAAACGGTAACAGAATCTCTTTTGAGCTTTGTTGGGGGCAGCTGCCCTGGGTCTGCAGTGTGAGGAAGGGGTTTCAGAAAGAAGCCTCCGGCTGGCTCACAAGCAGCTCGCTTTCTCTTCTGGGAGTAGGGGCGGTAACTGCAGGCCCCTCCCTGGGACAGGAGGGAGGAGAGCACCCCAGGGAGAGGCCCAGGGATGCCTGAGAAAGGGCGAGTGGAGCCTCGACTGGGGAAGGTTCCAGCCTCACCATGCTCAGCATCAAACAGTGTTTTGGAGGGAGCTGTCTGCTTGAGAGGATGTGGGTGGGCTGCAGGCTAGTGATCCAGTCCACACACTCGCTGGATGTGCTGACGGGGCCCCTGGTGCCTTCCACAGGGGCGGCCTGAGCTGACACCCACGGCCATCATGGCTGGGAAGTTCCTGGCCCAGCGGATCTTCGGCCAGTCCTTGACTCTGATGGATTACGACAGTGTGAGTTCTCTGGCAGGTCTCCTTCCCACCTGGGAAGGCCGGGGGCTGGTTCTCCTGGGGTGAGGGTGAGTGTGTGTGCAGCAGTGTGCTATGCCAACCTGTGTGCGCGTGTGCACACGTGTGTGTGCTCGTGGGAGCGTGGTGTGTGGTTCACCTTTAAGAGCCCAGCCCAGGAACCATGTGGAGTGCTATGGCCTGCCTACCAGTGCCTCAGGGACCCGGCCTGCCATCTCTGCTGTCCATGTCACACAGTAGGGACCTCTGATTTGGGCTGAGGGGAGGGCTCTGCCTGACCTGAGACCTGCTTCCCAGGTTCCCACCACTGTCTTCACTCCGCTGGAGTACGGCTGCATGGGGCTGTCTGAGGAGGAGGCTGTGGCACGCCACGGGCAGGAGCATGTCGAGGTAAGTGGGGCCAAGGACAGGGGCAGATGCCTGTGCAGTCCTGGTCCCATGGAATGCTGCCCTGGACAGAGGCCAGGTGAGAGGGTGTCAGCGTCCCTGCTTCCTGGGGCTGCAGCCTGGCAGTTGGGGTGCAGGGCCCAGAACTGTTGGTGGCCGAGGTGCAGCAGGTAGGATGACAGTGCATTAGGGTGAGGCCAAGGCCTCTAGCAATTGGGGTGAGGCTGAGGCTTTGGGCCTTGGGTCCCACCTGCTGCTGTTTGTCACAATGTCAAGGAAAGGACCCCAGGCTGCCTTGTTCTAAGGCCAAAGAAGAACCAAGAGAGGCCCCATTGCCCAGTGGCCCCCAAGTCCCCCCAAGGCATGCTTTAGGCCTATCCAGCACCTTTGGGGTCCCCACCGTGTATCACCAGCTCCTCCACCAGGGTCTCAGGGAACTGGAAGGTTCTGGCAGACAGGAACTCCCAACCTGCCCTCGTCCTGCCTCTCATTCTCCTCCCAGATTCCTCCAGACTCAGGCCTTCACCCTGGAGGAAGGGGATTTTCACAGGGCAAGGCTGCTTTTGAGGTCTGCTCTGGCAGATGGGCTCTGGCCCAGGGTAGCCTGGAGAGAGGCGGGGAGGCTCTAAAGCCCTCTAGCCTCAGGAGGCACAGTCTTGTTCTGCTGCTGCTTGAGCTTGCAAGCATGGGGGAAAGCAAACCGCACAGGGCTGCTTTCAAGGAAAAGCCCCTGGGCTCTGGGGCCAGCCCTTCCCCCGCAGCCCAGGCTCCTCCATCGGTAGGACTGCTGGACAGACTGGCCTTCCCTGAGGCACTTTATTTGCTGTTTTTGTTTGATTCATCACAAGTACATCAGGCCATATGTTCGTGGTGTTTTATAATGTTGTTTTATGTTTCATGATGTTGAATGGCCAAATATCCTTTGTTTGTTTTCTTTTCAGTTCTGTCTTAGTTAGAACAATATTCTCTGAAGCTCCATTAATTAATAATGGCTGTGCAGCACATGTGAGGCCCTGCTCATTTTTTACTCGGCCACAGCCCTGGACACGCTGTCGAGCCCTTCGTGGGTGCTGAAAGCTTTTGTCCGACAGCTCCAGTGTGGCCAGGGCCTCTCTGCCCCTCAGCCTTGCTCAAGTGAGGACTGAGCTAGTGCCATGGTGCCTAGGGGAGCTCGGGTGGCCACCTACCCATTCTTGTTCCCAGCATTGACCATGGGGGGCTATGCCTACCTATTTGTGCTCCTTGGGGACACTGTGGGGCCCTGTGCCCAACCTTGAGCTCTGTAATGTGGCACAGTCAGGGGCATGTGAGTAGCTACGTGGCTCTGGCTGCTGACTCCCTGCTTGTGGGAGAGGGGGTTGCATCATCACCCCAGACCATACCTTTGGGCCATATGGATAGTTTTGGGTCCCCACTGCACCCCTGCCCTGTCCACATAGCCCATCACAGTTGCAGAATCCGAATCCAATAGCTGGTTCCCTGTCACCAGGTTTATCATGCCTACTACAAACCACTGGAGTTCATGGTGCCCGGGCGGGATGCGTCCCAGTGTTACATCAAGGTAAGCATCTGTGGACACAGGGCCGAGTCCCATCACTGGTGTACTACCATGAGAGGGAGGGAAAGGACCTGCCATGGGTGGGGTGGGGGGCCCTGCAGGGTTTCAGCCATGCAGTGTGAGCTCAGAGGGCCAGCCCCCCACACCCTGTGGCTAAGACGCTGTGGCTTTCAGATGGTGTGCCTGAGGGAGCCCCCACAGCTGGTGCTGGGCCTGCACTTCCTCGGCCCCAATGCAGGTGAAGTTACTCAAGGATTTGCTCTGGGGATCCGGTAAGTCCAGAGGAATGTCGGCCACTGGGCGGTGCTTGCACAGGCGCCCCCCTCCCCAGGCATTGGCAGCACTACAGTGGGAAGGGCTGTGTTTCATGTTGCTCTTATGTGACCTTCTCCCTGTGAGCAGCAGGGATCCTCAGCTGGCAGGTTCCATGGGTGGGAGGCACTTTCTTCTCCAGCCAGATACTGCTGAGCCAGCACCACATGGAGTCTGCTGTGGCCAGCTGCCTAGGGGCTGCTGTGGCCTGGGTCCCTGTCTAGGGCTTTTCTATCTGGTCTGGTTGAGCAGCACTGGGGCCCTTGCTTACCAAGGTGACCCCTCCAGCACTGCGAGCAGATCCAATCACAAATGAGCCTGCAGAGCCGCCCACAGCTGCTGCGTGTCTTCTGCTTTCTGCCCAGTCTTGGGCTCAGGCTATGAGTTTTCAGAGTCCCAGGGCCACAAGAGGCCACAGCAGAGGCTGAGAGGGGCCCAGCTGTCAGGGCAGTTGGAGAGTGGGACATTGTGCAGAGCCTGAGAGAGGTGGTGGGACATGGGGCCTTAGAGGCAGGAGAGCTGGGTCGGGTTGAGTATCTGTGGGTGAAGCAGAGAGGGCGGCAATGGGGAGCAGCCGGGCACGTGGAAAGGGTCCCTCACACAGGGACCAGGGGCTGCCCAGGCCCTACAGCAGAGGTCCTCAAACTTTTTAAATAGGGGGCCAGTTCACCGTCCCTTAGAGCATTAGAGAGCCGGACTGCGGGCCTTGGGACAAGTCAGCTGTTAAGCAGGACAGGCAGCGGTGGCAAAAACACCCGGTGGGCCAGATAAATGTCCTAGGCGGGCTGCATGTGGCCCACGGGTCGTGGTTTGAGGACGCCTGCCCTAGAGGGTTAAGACAGATGCCAGGAGCACCTCAGCCTCCTCCATGTGCAGCCAGTGCCTCAGATAGGGCCTCTCCATCACAGGGCAGCAAGCTTCTGGCCCCACTGTTGCCCTCCTGGCCCCTCCCAAGATGTGAAGGGATCTCTGGGGGCTGGGGGTTCTCCCAGGACAAGGGTTCCAGAGAGCAGCAGGAACCAGGATCCAGGGTGGGCTCCCATCCTTGGACACATGTCCACGGTCCCTGAACTATGGAGCTGTCTATGGCAGAGCCATCACCTGGAAACTCAACTCAGCGTGACCACTGGTCTGGTGCAGCCTTTGCTGAGAGGCCTGCTATAACCCTCAAGGGTGGGGTTGGCCCTGGGCACCCACTGGTCCCTGTGTGAGGCCTGGCAGGCTCAGCCATCCTCAGTACCTGCTGTTGTGGGAGATCTCTGTGGCCAGCAGGGAATGGGGACAGCCCTGGGTCTCTCACAAAGCCACTGTCCATGTGTACTTGCTATTGACAGAACTGACACCAGCTTCAAAAAAAATTTCTGGGAAAGCCCTTTAAAATATGGCAACCTATTTTTTTTTTTTTTTTT